CCTTCTGATTCCTCATAAATTTGCTCGATCTCCTCACCTTCAGCCTCTTTGATTGGGCTGTAAAATTGGACTAGTTTTACTGTTCTATTTGTTCATATGTAGAAATAGAGTTGCTGTGTAAGATGAGACAATTTATTCTGACTAAACTTATTTATTCTTTTTTATCTTATTTATTTAGTTCCAGTTATTTCTTTCAAACTTAACCAATAATCTCCTAACCGTTGGCTGCCCCCATGTTGACAGAAGCGAACCCCATTTTTCTAGGGAGCTATCGATACCGTCGCTGAATGTACCACAGTAAAAGCAATGATACCGGATTGAAACGGCAAATCGTAGTGTTAAAGAAAGAAAAATCAATTTCTACGTTACACCAACAGCTCTGTTGCACTGCCCCCTTGCTTCTAGATGTCTGGAGGGGGAGGGTGCATTTAAGCAGGCCACGGCTCCGTGGTATTTAATTATATCGATTGCTCCCCCCGAACACCGGGTTTCAATATTGTCACCGTTGGCTTCCCTCTCGAATGAGTTTTGATTCCAGTGTGCAGCCATGGTAGGCTGTTTTTGCCACCATCAACTAACCATGGCAAAGCGTGAATGGTAGATGAGGACAGATTTGCGATTGACTGTTTGAAACTATGCCTCCAATTTACTTCCAGCAGCTTTTACTGCTGCCTGCCATAAAAGTAGTATTGCTGCTCGAAAGCATTCCTGCGTCCACGAGGTGATTCCAAGTTTGCACTCCATCAAGTGCATCGACGGCCACAGGCCCGTTTGCGCAAGAAGCATTAAAACAGACTTCTGTTTCGCTTTTTAAGGATGTGACCTACTGCTGTTCATCAAAATTCAAAGAGCTTCTGCTGCAATATCAGTTTAGGGCCCAGGTTTTCACTTTACCTTTTGCCACCTAGAATACAGAATCAAACTTCTTCATCTAAACGGTAATTTTCAGTTGTTGTTATTGGCATAAGGAAGATGTAGTAATTACTGTGGCCTGCTTCTCGCAGGATGAACAGGTCTATTGCTTCCTCTAAGCATTAAACCTCAGAATCAGTTCTCAACATCGGCTGATTGTCTCTATGTTTCAGTAACGGTTTGCAGTAACATGGGAAGACAAGCAGCGCTTATGCTTGGTTTTCTTTTCGGCCAACTATCACTCGATCATACGACTTTTTGCTGTTGATTGGACCGATGACCTATGACCGTTTTTTTTTCTAGCAATTGGCTGTAGCGGCGATGAGTGACAAAGCTGAAAAGTTTCTGGTTTTTATGCATTTTATATTCTTGAGGCAGGCAGTTGGTTAACCGATGGATTATATTGAATGACGGCCTAACCATCGTACTGAAGTTTGTCGTGGCATGATCAGAACAGATCACCACAGTTTTTATTACCTCCTTCTGGCCGAGTCTCGAGAGTTAAACATTGGGGTGACAGACCGAGGGTATTGATCAGTGCATGACGACCTGATTGCCTCCTCGAAACTCGTTTCCGCCACAGATTTCATGCTTTATTATTTTTCGTTGTCTAATAGAGAAGTAATTAATGCAACTTCGGATCTTTACAAGCGGTTTTCATAAACCGGCTTGGGAAAAATTGTCACTTCGAGCATTATCAAAATTACATCGAGCCATACGCACTCACTGCCTAGCCTTGTTGTTGGATACCTTAACTCTTTGAAACGTCCACTTTCACTGAGTCATCCCCTAATCGTTCGTTCGTGTCAGGAGGCACGTAACTTTCAGCGCTGGGAAAATTTTTTTCACGCAGTTGTTTTCCATGTGAACGACACCTACGAACTAATGTTTCGATCTTTATGCCACGCAGATCGTGACTCTCGGTGACTTGTAACGCTTGCCAGCCGTTTATTTGTTACAGGCAAAAAACTTTTGCTGGCATGGAAAATAATAAATCAGTTGCAAATTGATGACTATTCATCTGGACCATTTCCGCCTGATGTGATTTTGCGACGAACCCGGCTTTTCTGTTGTGCAGGTCATCTTCCCTGTGCTCTCTATTCCTGGAACTTTACAGCTGGAGACAAAGTAAGATTTAGCAAATTTCTTCAAGAGACAAGTAGAGGGCTAGCCACTGCAGAATACAGCTTGAACGAGGCGGCGATTTTGGTTCGAATCATAAAGCGAAGACAACGCTTTATTTAAATATCAGGCAATATAGTTGGTCGATTGGACCATAGAGGTGTCGAACCTCGTGGCTTATCTTCAAGGTTAGGTTAATTTTGTTACCTGGGTAGGTGGCGTTGTCTGTAATGGTTGATTCACCTTGGAGCAAAATCTCCTTTTCTTTGCATTTCAGCATGATTGCCAACAAGCGCACAAAACAAGTACTCCGTCTATGAATGTCAGTAGTAGTACTTCACGTTAGCTTCAGAATATGTTGACAACAGATAGGAGAACATCGTGTCAAAAGACAACACTGAAAATGGGTAGGATATGACCACAGAAATATGGCTTCGAAAGTTATAGTCAGGTTATGAGGATTGACGAAAGTTGATCACGGATCCGTGAGATGTAATCGACTGAAATTTCTGCAGCACAGGTTTTGGCGGCAATTCCCAAACAAAACCGTTTCTTGAGAGCAAGCGTTTTCTCCTTAAATATGGTACAAAAATGGTCAGAACAACGACTTCGTCCAGAAACTATCTCTCAGCAAGATCGAAAGGTGTTGGACTGACTTTCAGTAGATTAACACCTTGCACAACTCTGATTCTACCCTGAGACTACAAGGTAGAGGCTGGTTGATGTTCTCTGACGACAGCAGTTTGTGTGGCAACAACGATCAAATGCGGCAAAGTCGTAGCAAACGCAGACTCGCCAGTCTAGACGGGTCCAATAACCTGCCAGCTTACGGTAAATGCATATGGTACAT